AGATCTGACCATTTCTTCTGCTACCTCCCCCACAAAGGGCGTATACATACTCGTACAAACATTTTTGCTAACACAAGATCTGTTATGAAGATTATATATATATCTGTGAACCCTTACTGGTACTTCGCCCACAAAGGTTAAACATATTAGTATTTTATTTGCCATAAGTTGCGAAAAGTTCAGCAATTTTTACAACTTGCTATATCTAAATATTTATCTCAACCAGAAACCTGAGAAGAATATAAAATTTATCGGAATTTATGATTTCACACAAAATTGGACAGAAATTTTCGATTTTCTTGTAATTATTCCCATACCAATATTTTTTTATCTGTATTAGATGAAGTATGAAAATGGAATACTTCGGTCGACTATATCTGGTACCTCATGTGCATTTTAACATTTTCTAAAAATGGCATCACATATAAAGTAAAGGAAGTAACGGAAGTATAGTCCAAACCTGGCACGTATTTATTTATATTCGATACGATATGAACAATATTGGGCCATTCGAAACCTATGCCATGGAGACACAGCTCAGAAATCCTCTGAAAATTGTCTCCATCGGTTCCAGTTTGGATATAGCTCCCACATATATACCTCCATTAAATTTTAGTTAAAACCCAATTAGAATATAGACTTCATATGTTGGTTCAATTTGATGTCAAATTTAAAAGGCTCTAAAGCTGTAGCACGCAAAATTTATTTCTGTAGGGGTACCTACTAATTTTAAAAAATTTTAGACTTCGGGCTACATTTTCCGTCGAAGTTGGGGTAATGTTATATTTTGAAATCGAAAAGAGCATAAAACATTCAAGATTAATTTGCCTTATGTAGGCCCCATATACTGGTAGCCACTGAACAACGTATTTTGGAAATAATTTTTCCTCTGACTAAAATTCAGAATTATTTCATATTTCGACATGTGGCCGAGTTACAAATGTGACACATTATTTAGCATCTTTTCACCAATTTTATACAAGAGGTTTAGAGTAAATCTTTTTGAAAAATTTAGTAATCCTCTTCAACTTTTTGAAGAATTTACTTATATATCCAGGTCTAATTGGTTGTGACTTCAGGATAAAAATCTATCATGCAATGTTACATAAATATATATCCAATATTTTTTTTTTTTGGTTTTTGAATATCTTAAGCTAATTCTTCAATCAATTTGAATTAATTTGAAAGTTTGGGTCTCGGTTTGGGTATTAATCATGTATATTTTTATGTAGCGCCCACTTAATATTGTAACAAAGTTTAAGGTATTTAGAAAGTTTTTGGAACCTTGTAATTACATATGTTGAAGAATTTTTTTTCAGAGCCACTACCGTATATATACAACCAAAAATAGGACAATCGAAATAGCAGGGGTTATATGTCATTTGATACAGTAAACATGTCTGCGTTGTGTGTCCGAAACCCTCTCGAAGAGAGTATCAAATTTCGCCCAAGTATGGTACCTTGACCAATGAATGTATAGACAACAAAATGTTGGTTTTGCCTTTTTATCTAGATGGCTCTCAGCACGTGTTTGCATAGTTAACATGCTGATTTTGCCAGTCGACCTACTCAATGTGATATTTTAAACACTTTAGATTTAAGTGACTTCAATATTTCCACTCATACTCCTTAAACGACATAGACGACATCTGCGGATTCGGTTTTTTTTTTTTTTTTCATAATAAGCGGTGAGATCATCCCGTTGTCTATACATATGCCTATGGTACATCGTAAAATATTCCTATAATTTAAGATCACGTTTGGAGATCGGCACACTGCTTCTGGTACTTTCCACACAGAAGGTCAACATTATCAAAGAAAATAATTTACATTACGAAAAGTGGCTATCTTAAGATTAGGAAATGAACGAAATCGGTGCACACCTTCTGGCCTTCTTACAAAAAGTTAAAATGCCAAAGAAATCAGCTATTTAAAAAAAAACTTCGTGTATCTCCTTCCGAAACTTCCGATACAAATGGTCAAAATTTTAAATAAATATAGCTCTCAAATATTGTCAATGTTTTTTATACCATCCACCATAATATGAAGGGGATTTTAAGTTTTTAGATCGTACAAAGATCAGCATAAAATGTCGATTTAGTGATGTCCATCCGTCTCTCTGTCTGTCCGGCACTCCTTCCTATAACAGAAAATTGACCATCTAAATTAACGGATACACCCCCATATAAGGGACTCTCCACTATTCGGTATTTTGATGATTTTAGCTATATTTTTCAACAGAATTATCTTAAACTTTGTGTTCTCTAAAGTTCGTATGGTCCCCTTTTTTACAATGAGTCTAAATGTTGAATAATTATAAATCACAACCGCGATTTTTCTCAAACTTTCCACCAACCATATTTCTTATGTAAATGTGGGTCCAATCCATTAATTTGAATAACAATTACTGACATAAGGTGGAGGTATTTATGTTAGCCTTAAATCAGGGGTAGAAATGATCAATATCGGCCCACTCCTTAGGCATCATCTCCAAATGGGTCAACATTTTGAATACTCATAACGCAAGTCCGAAGATTTTTACAGAAACGGCTGAAGTCCGAAGACCTGAAGGCAAAGCCGACCAATACTTGCTTTAAATGAGATCATGTTAAGGATAAAAGGAACTCCTTGTGTGGTAGCTTAGCCCGACATCAAGGAAGTGGATGGAAGAAAACAGCAACATCAGCATAAATGGTTCGAAAAGTAAAGAAACGACTTGATCGAAACCAGCGTCGCAGTGGCCGAAAAATCGTTCGTGAGCTGAACATATCGCAATATTCAATTCGGCAAATATTGAAAAATGAGCTCGGGGTAAAGCCATTGAAATTCCAAAAAGTGCAAGAACTTACACCGCAACAGAAAGAAAATAGTCTCAAAAGAGCTAAAGAGTTGCTTCGCTTGGTCGAAAGTGGTGAACTGCCGAATTTGGTTTTCTACGATGAGAAAACATTCGTTGTCCAGCAGTTTGTAAACAAACAAAATGATCGTATTTATTTGCCAAAGAGGTCAGCTGAAAATGTGCACTTTCGGTTGGCCACCAGAACCCAAGCGCCGGCCATGGTGTTGGTGTGGGCCGCCATGACAGCCGTTGGTGGCTCTCCGCTTTATTATTCGACCGTGGCATCAGAATAAATGTCGAATATTATCGCGAAAATATTCTGGAGGGTGTATTAAAGCCTTGGGCATGCAAACATTTTGGCCGCAGACCTTGTACATTCCAACAGGACTCAGCACCATCGTACTCAGCACGCCCCAACCAAGAATGGTTACAAAATGAGGTTTCTCGCTTCATTTCCAGCGCACAATCGCCACCAAAATCTCGTGATACCAATCCGTTGGACTATTGTGTCTGAAGTATTTTGGAAAGCAAGGTTGGCACTAAAAAATACCAAATACTAAAAAATACCTCAAGCAAGCGCTTCGCCGGGAATCGGCCAAAATACCGCAGATCACCATTCGGGCAGTGTGTGACGGTTTCGTTGGCCGTTTCAAGGCCATAATTCGTGCCAAAGGTGACCAATTCGAACAAATTTAAACTTATTCTAAAATTTGATGCTATTTCCCGCAGTTTTAGCTTTCATTCAATAAAACAATTTAAAAAATGTAAAAATTATGACTTTTGTTTTTGTTGCAGTGTTTTGTCTTACCCTGTATATACTTTGTTAGTTCTAAAATTATTATTGCTATGAGTTACAAACGGAATGACGAACTTAACATACCCTCCATACTATGTATGGCGGAAGATATAAAAACAAGGATATTAGGAATCAAACTTAATACACTTCAATGCCAATCTTATGGATTCGTCCGATGGATCCTGACCAATTTGAGTATACGTCTATATAAATTAAGAGTCTAGACCTCACATCTGTTTTTGAACTAAATACATTATAGCGGTCAACTTCTTTTAATTCATCTCTCCCCATAAAAATTATAAATCCCAAAAGATAAATAAATTTAAAGTGGTATTTTTGCAAATCAAATCTTTACTCATTTTATTGGAAGAAAAGTCAATGGATTCACTCTGGGCCACTGTTCCTCAATGCGTATAATTGCATAGATTTGTGTCATTCGATGTGCGTGACAGAGAGTGTGCCATATTAAGCCTATATATAGGTAGCTATGTAAGGAGGCAATCATTAACTACCACTGCCCTGCAACTTAGCCGGGGTACTCAAATTACCAAAAGGACTTATTTCAATTTCGAGGTATAGATTAAAGCAAAAAAAAAAAAAAAAACGACCTCGTGGTATCCTTTCCCTGAACTTTAAACAAATTATGGGGAGCCCCTTCTCCATTTCTCCGATTAATGTAGGCCATTTACAAATTGTTTGACAAATAAAAAAAACCCAGTAAGAGGAGATGGGAGCTTAAGGTCGTTCCACTTCAGCATGGGGGGAATACGAATAAAATTGAAGGGTTTTAGAATTGAAACTTTTCTCCACAACTTTTCTCCTTTTGATAATTTAAATATATTATTTCAATTGAGTTTGGTGTAATTTTCTTTCGTTGTTGCGGTAATGTTGTTTTATTAACACAGTAATTTTCATGTTTGTTTCTTTTTGTTGTCGTTGTTGTAGTTTCTTTTTGTATATTTTTGTTTGGTTTGATTCTTGTGTGTAATTTTCTGTATCTATAGCACCGAATATAACAATATTTTTTCTTTTGCTTCTTCACTTGGAAATTTTCTTTTGGAGAGGAGGTGGTGTTCGTTGGTGATGGTGGTGGCAGTGATGGGTGGGTTGGTTGGGATTTTCTTTCTCTGCTAGGTGTATGTTTGAACGTGTGTTGGCTGGTTGATTTCGTTGTTGTTTTTTTTTTTCCCGTTACATATTCCGTATAGTTTTTCCTTCACATGTTTGTATGTATGTACAATAATATATATATATTGATGTATTATTTTTTATTCTTTTATGGAGCTATGTATGGGAATTATTAAAAATACATGTACGTTTGTATGTTTGTTTGTTTGTTTGCTGTACATATATGGATGTATATACCTTTTATTTTATTTATTTGGTTGTTGTTACTGTTGTAATTTGTAGTAGTAGTTGTTGGTTGGTTTATTTTTTTTTCTTGTTGTTTGGTGTTTTGTTGTTGGTATATATTTTTTAATATATTTTTTATTTTGTTTTTTTTACATATATATTAATTTGTTTAAGATATATAGAATTAATTTGGTGGGTTTAATAAGAATGATAAGAATAAATATTTGAATATTTTGTTGTTGTTGTTGTAATTAAAGCACCAATTTTGTTTCGGATTTTCGGTTTTTTTCTTCTTCCTTTTCTCAGTATTATGTATGTATATTTTTGATGTGGAAAATGCAATTTTTATTTTTCTGCTTTTCTAAACTTCCTTTCGCTTGTTACTCTTTTAACCGGAGAAAACGTATACAGGATTTTCTTGGTCGTTCAGTTTGGAAATTTTCACAATTTTTTCTTCTTTTTTTCTTGGGTTAGGATTTAATTTCCATTTTTTTTTTACTAAATATTTTTTAAATGGTTTTTATTTTTTTTTTTTTTTTTGGTTTGCTTCTTCTCTATCTATACGAGGTGTATATGTAGGCAGGCATATCTCTATATGTATATCTAACTAGATATATATGTATGTATGTAGTTATGTAGACATATATATAGAATTTTTATTCATTTTTCCCGTTTTCTTCTTGGCTATTCGAAAAACTTCTGCTCTTTCATGAGATAATAATATATTTCTTTGCGAATGATTTAAATACACAACATATACAAAAAACTAATGATTTTCTTTGTGGGAAAAATATGATGAACAGAACAGAAGTGTGTTTCTTTTTTTGACATCAACCCAATTGTGCGGCACTTTCTTTTTTTGTTTTTTGAGTTATGTGGCCAAGTTTTGTCGGCTGTTTTTATTTTGTAACACCGTTTTCCAACTAACTACCCTTAAGTACTGATTTCATCGCTCTGTGGCGTATGCTTGTTATACCCAAAAACTTTTCCTTACAAATGTGGGAAATAAAGCGTCGCCGCTTGTCTCTCTTTTGCTATAGAGTGGTGAATTTTATTCAGCACACACACACACACTCACCCACATAGGACTTGTCGAAATTGTAATCAATGAAATCAAACCTTTTATTTCTTTGGTTTGTATTCCACTGCGCACACTCCAACCATCCTTATCATTAGCTCTTTGTAACACACACACGCTCTCCCTCTCTCTCTCTCTTTCGCTGTCGCTTATCCTTCACATCATGTTGCTTGTGAGTACATGTGTTGTTGGAATTCAATACTACTAGTATTTTTCCCAATTTACATTCCATTACTATACCCTCATCCATGATTGATACTGGAAGTGCACACACACAAAAAGTAAACAGACCCCCGAAAACGCCAACAAACTAATTGACATTTGGTACGTGAGAGCTGTCATAAATGGTGAAATGTCAAAGGGGGTAGGACGACGTGACATATGTTTTCAGTGGGGATTCGATTAGTAATGTGTACGAAATTGTGGGGAGTGTGTACCAAAAAGTGTAGTATATTTTGTAGAGATGGAATAAACCGTTATAATTTACGTTTTTTAAAATGTTTTTCAAAAACAAACTGGGAAAACTTAACGGACGAGCGACTTTATGAACGAATGACTGTAATTGATAGAGCAGGAAAAATGAGGATGATCGATATAAACGGTACTTCAAATTTAAATATTATCGGTAAAGTTATAAAATTAATACTATCGGTAAATTTTTGCAAAATTTTATCGAGAAATCAAAATTTTACCTCAAAATACCGTATATCGAGTAGTACCGTTATATTAGGGATATACGAAATTGTGAGCCTATATAGGGTGAGATAAAAAACTGAACAAAGTTAAACGACATAATTTTTAATTTTTATTGAAAATTTCGGAAATAGCATAAAATTTTGGAATAAGTTTTACGAATTACGGCCTTCAAAAGGCCAATGAAACCGAATGATGCCTTGCGGTATTTTGGTCCATTCCCGGCGAAGCGCTTGTTGTAGGTGATCAACACTTTGGTATTTTTTAGTGCCAACCATGCTTTCCAAAATACTCCAGACACAATAGTCCAAAGGATTGGTATCCAGAGATTTTGGTGGCCATTGTGCGCTGGAAATGAAGCGAGGAACCTCATTTTATAACCATTCTTGGGTGGCGCGTGCTGAGTGCGAAGGTGCTGAGTCCTGTTTGAATTGCAATTTCTGCGGCCAAAATGTTTGCGTGCCCAAGGCTTTAATACACCCACCAGAGTATTTTCACGATAATATTCGGCATTTATTCTGCGACTAATACGCGCGGAGACCGACCATCGGCAGTTATGTCGGCCCACACCATCACAATGACCGGCACTTGAGTTCTAGTTGCCAACCGAAGGTACACATTTTCAGCTGACCTCTTTGGCAAGTAAACAAGATCAGTTTGTTTGTTTACAAACTGCTGGACAACGAATGTTTTCTCATCGAAGAAAACCAAATTCATCAGTTTACAACTTTCGGCCAAGCGAGACAACTCTTCAGCTCCTTTGAGTCTATTTTCTTTCTGTTGCGGTGTAAGTTATTGCACTCTTTGGAATGTCAATGGCTTTACCCTGAGCTCATTTTTCAATATTTACCGAATGAAATATTGCGCTATGTTCAGCTGACGAGCCATTTTTCGGCCACTGCAACGTGGGTTTCGATCAAGTGATGTTTGCTGTTTTCTTCCGTCTACTTCCTTGACGTCGGGCTACGCTACCAGTATCACGGTAGCGAGCGATGGTACGAGACCCAAAAGATTTAATCTTAATTTAATCTGTAACGATAGCCACTTGTGGTTTTCCAGCCAAATATAAAGAAATCACACTATCACGTCCGAATTCCATCACGAATTTTTTTTTCTGCAAAATTCTCACCAAAATGCTTTTGTACGCTTGTAAACAATATAATGAGCAGTCACTGGAATACTTTTAAAAGCTGTCGGATGGGTTGCTAGGAAATGACAGCAGTCTGAATTTTGTTGCAGTTTCTCGTCCTATCCTGTGTATAAAATTCTCCGCGACCGAAGGTAGAACCCATTACGAACTAAATTTTATAGACAAATTGGATGAATCATGTGTCTAAAACCATGAAAATACCGAATATCTGAATGTTCCGTTATATGGGAGCTATACATTAACGTGGACAATATTCTGCTACAAGATAAAGAATCCAGTATGAACTCTAAATATCGAAGTTTGAGCTATTCCGCTATAAACTGGGAATGTACAATTATATAGGGGTTACCAGCAGTATATTTATATATATATATATATATATATATATATATATATATATATATATATATATATATATATATATATATATATATATATATATATATATATATATATATATATATATATATATATATATATATATATATATATATATATATATGTATATATTCTTGATCTGCTTCTGATTGGACTGCGAATAAATTTCAACAAATAATCAAATATTTCAATATGAAAATCAAAACTATTTTAAATAAAATAACTATGAACAGCACTTAGCGTTTGCGACAAGTGCGCTATATTTCAATGGAATTATTTATAATTTCAAATAAGTTTTAATGCTAAAACGCAAACTTCATAATCGAGGTGTCACTTTAATTATTTGTAATCCGATATCGGTGATATCCACCATGGGAGGTGTGGAATGTTTTGTAATCTGGATACATTTTAAACGATATTATTAACATTAACTTGAAGATTACACGCCCACAGATCGCAACGAATTGTTAACTGTTTGAGTTTCATAACATAATTAATATTTATTATTTGATGATATTAAATTGTAATTCCAAATTGTAACTATCTTGGATGTACGAGAATTTATAATATGGTAAGTACAATGTTTTATAACAACGGCTTATTGAAAGGAAGGACAATTAAATAGGTTCTGGATGGGTACGTTAAAAAGAAGATTTGTTTGCAGGGAAATAAGTGTGGCCTATTTATGAATGACTTATCAAGGGGCTATCGGTTAAGTACGAACAGAACATGAGATTTTCAAGACAATTTTTTTCAGGGTCTAATTCACCTATATTTGAGGATTTTACGTAAATATTTTTTTACGGACCATAGCGTGAATTTTTTATTTTTTATATAGGGGTATGGGTATTATTTCTTTGTGCATTTGTTTGTAAAATGGAGAATGAAGCGAGCTAAACCCATAGTTACTTTTGAGGATCGATTTATACATGTCAGTCCATCTGTCTGTCCGCCTGTCCAGGTATTTTTGTGAACAAAATACAGGTCGCATTTATTATCCGATTGAGATGAAATTTCCAAACAATATTTGTTTGGCCGAAAGACGAGCCCTATTAAAATTGACGAGAATCAGTTCAAATTTAGATATTGCTCCCATATATACATTCAACCGATTTGGGGTTAATTTTGCATCAAATGACAAATATCAGTCCAAATGAACTAAATTTTGCCGCATCCGACAGAATTTAGTTTAGAAGCAAGTAAATCAAATTTGAAAATCGGTTCAGATATAGTTATAGCTCCCATATGTAAATGTTTCGTCTGATTTGGGTTTTGAAGCTCCTCACAAGCGTAATATGCACTCCATAAGAATGATATTTGGTACCAGATAATTTATGACAAAAATACTTCCATCAAATTTTATCACGGTCGGATCAGATTAGGATATAGCTCCCATATTTACATATTTTCCCGATATTGAGGTTATTGTGCAACAAATGACCAATATCAGCCCAAATGATGTGAATTTTTGGCACTTCCGACTAAATTCAACCTAGAAAAAAGCACTTCAAATTTGGAGAAAATCTATTCAGATATAGGTCCCATATATATGTTTCATCCGATTTGGGGTTTTAAGTCCCTCACATGCATAATATGCACTCCATAGCAATAATTTTTGATACAAGATATCAGACACAGCTCAGAAATAAGTGCATTGGGTGCCAGATAACTTTTGGAGCTCAAAAATACCTCTATCAAATGTTGTTCCCATATATATCTTTATTTGATTTATATAATATCAGCCCAAATGGACTGTTTTTTTTTTTTGACACTTCCGACGGAATTAGTCCTAGAAACAAGTGCTTCAAATTTTGATGAAAATCGGTTCAGATATAGTTTTGGCTCCCATATATATGTTACATCCGATTGGGGGCTTAAAGTCCCTCATATGCATGATACTGCTCGAAAATACCTCTGCCAAATTTTAAAGAGATCGGTTAATATATATATATATATATATATATATATATATATATATATATATATATATATATATATATATATATATATATATATATATATATATATATATATATATATATATATATATATATATATATATATATATATATATACTATAAAACGACATGTCATGTCAAAATACCGAATATCAGGAGGTACCGTGACATCGGAGCCGTTATCGTGGTACGATATTGTACGTCTTCGATCTTAAACTACATGTACAAAACAGACTCTTTTTGTGCACAATTCAAGTTTCCTATCTCTAGACCCTAGTGTGGTTATAGCAGTTGGGTAGACAGACTTAGAATTTTACACTGCTCAAGAATATACACACTTTGTATGATCTAAAATGATTATTTCGATGAGTTACGAACGTAATGACAAACTTAGTCTACCCTCCATTCTACGTGTGGTGGAAGGTAAAAAAAGTCTGATAGTCTTTGAAAATACATTCTTGAAATGCCCACGGATATAGCTCCGATAGGAATTGAAAAGCCATTCTTATAATAGTCCCCCTCTGTCTGTCCTTAAGAAAATTGTCTTGAATGTACACATTTATGGCTTCTGGATTTTTGAGAATAAAAAACTACATAAAAGCACAGACATAGGGCTTTGTAATTCCTTAAAAATTTAACAAGAAATCAAAGTTTATAACTCTGTTATCTACTATTTGAAGAAATGTAC